GTGCGATATATTTGTCTGTATCTATCTCGATTCGTTTTGGCTGTTACAAACAAACCGTTATTTGAGCAAAGTTATAATACCCTTGTGCACAAGTTCGCTTGGGTATAAAAATGATTTCAGAATATTCTACAATGAGAAACTTATGATGCTTAATTAAGAAAAAACGGTCACGAAAACATTTTTGAGAAGTATAGTCAAAAATAATATTTTTGCAAACATTTTGTTTTCATAAAAAGTTTGATAACTCAGTAAACTTGCATCCGACTTTTGAAAGTAAACACTCGTTTTACTCCTTATTAAAATTAGTTTAACAATCAATTTAGGACTAGTATTGTTTTCTTATAAACCGTAAAAACCGTTGAAAAACGGTGAGAAAGTAAAAAAAAAATGTGTTTGCTGCGTAAATTCACACAGATCTCTTAAGGTTTCTTTACTCATCAATAAACCGAAACTCGGTTCAAAATTTATTTATTTAATTTATTAATGCTTAACGCTTAACGCCAATCGGCTTAGTCTAATGTAATAATTTAACACATTAAACATTCTAGGATAATTACATTACAAGAACAATTTAACAATTCAATGACGCAATTCAATGTAAAAAGACTAGTATAACAAGCGCACTATCGTATAGCTGTGTATGATGTTTCAAGTAAGAAGTAGTTGATCCTTCACGTTTTTCATAAACAGCGCATGAGTTCCTCCGAAGAAATTTAAAGTAGAGCAATGTTCATTTACAAGTCTTGCGATTCTATTGTTAGGCCCGTGCAAAATATGTAGTTCTTTGTCGTCCTTGTTGTTTCGAGTTGGCGGTTGATTCTGAGGCCCACTTTGGGGCAGATGAACCCAAATTGCTCAAGAATTTCAGGTGAACAAATGTGACCATTGATTACTTTGTAGAAGAAGGACAGGTCGGCAACTTGCCTTCTGCTCATGAGGCTACTGATTCCGAAATGTTTGTAGACTTCATTGGTGTTCATGGTTACACCCGAAGAGCTTAAAAAGTAGACAAATACTTGCAGAATTTGTGCTGAGGAGCTTCCAGTCTATTGACAAGCTGGTCTGTGAACGGTGACCAAACTATAGAGCAGTACTCAATGATTGGTTTTACCAGTGCATTAAACAGTCGGATGAGAGTGTACGGATTTCGGAAATCTTTGCCAGATCTGAGAATAAACCCTAACGTTTTGTGTGCTCGTAATGCTATGTTTTTTATGTGGCTGGCGAAAATTAGTTCACTGTCAACGATTACACCAAGGTCCTTAATGGTTGTGACCACCTGTAATTGTTGACCGTTCAACCAGTATACAGGTGTATGCGGTTCACGCGAACGGAAGTAGGACATAACAGCGCATTTTCTCTTGTTTAAATAGAGTTTATTCGTTGTCGACCTACCACATGTAAATCCGTGTTGCCTGGTAGTTATGATATAATGAACTAAGTTACAGGCTTATAAATGCGCAAAAGTACGAAACCCCAGTTTTTTTAATGGTAAACCAAGATTTTGGGGGTGTTTGACAAATTTCATATTTCGATTCTGATTTTACTCGAAAAGACCTATTTACCAGAAAATATACATAACTTCCCAGGTATTTCTACTTTACGCTTTTTGTAGCACTGTGTAATCACTTCACTTTTCCTCCCAAGTCACTCCGAAACACTTCACTCTTAGTATGTTTTCACTTCGCTCGAAAATTAGAAAACGGCAACACTGGTATGTACCCTTGTGGTCAGCTTGTCAACACCCTTATTCTAGAACCCGAATTTTCGTAATTCGTTATTTGGAGCTACGTTACGAAAAACGAAAAATCTACATGCTGCAACCCTTGCGGAAAAATATGCAGCATGTTATCAGTTGGTTTTTGAAGTCAGCTGTAGGAAGAAAAATTGGTTTATTTTATATATTCTAGTACGCGCTATGGCAATGGACTCTCAAAGATATGCGGAGCTGTAGGGCATAGTAACCATGGATGCATCTATGTCAGCTTCTAGTTGAATTGTTGAGCCACAAGCTATACCTCCTATGCCTGAAGAACTGGTTCTCAATCCAGTAGCTCGTTTCTGTAACTCTTCTCTGCCGATTATTTCACTACTGGTAGAGAATATACGTCATTCTCTACTACTCATTGGAAGTACAGAACAGAGCGGCGAATTCATATCTCAATTCGCCTCGGTAGAGAATTATTACAGAAACGAGCTACAGTTAATGCAATAACAGCTTCTTCCAAGCCATTGAAAATATGTATTTTGTTAGGTCCACCACCTGGTTACGCTTGCTTCTGCCTTCGACCGCGCTTAGGGATTATAAGTCTTATTAATGAGAATTATCTTTTTGTGTTGCCGTAGAAGAGGGCAGAAGCCAAATTTGGAGCCTTTTTTTAATTAAAGGTTAATCCTTTGGCTACACGTGGATGTTAATGTTTTTAGATCCGGGTGATGCGTTTGGATATAACAACCCAAAATCAAAAAACTAAACCGTACCAAAGTTTCTCGATAAGGGGCAACAAACATTCTTTTTGTTCATTCATATACATAATGCAGTAGATAAAAATATACGTATATATACGTGAACGACAAATTTTTCTGTTTAAATGAACACCACTAATATCTCCTGCAAACACACATCTATTTATTTTTCTCGTTCGTTTGTAGGCATGCCATTGTTACGAATTTCGAAAGTTCGAAGATACGATTTTGATTGCAGCATACCATTTCTACGATTCGTAGCAAGATACGAATACGAAAGTGTTGCAGAATAGGGGTGTAAGTTAAGTGACATTTGGTCAGTTTTAGCTAATTTTCTTTTAACTATTTAATGTTTACAATTTGTTCATAAAAGTTTGGAAAATTACATAACCAGCACCACACAAATCGATATTTTGGCTATTTTTCTTTTAACTATTTAATGTTTATAACTTTTTTATAAAAGTTTGGCAACGCAATTTGTACTTTAACCTCCTAAAATGTAATGGGCAATAAAACTGCATACCTAAAAATTAAAACAAACATTTTAATTAAAAGTTTAAAATTTTTAGGTGCAATTATTAAATGTTGTTGAATTTGATAATTTTTGCAAAAAGTTTGAAATGGGGTTTTATGTGGTGCTGTTTATGTTATGTGCTAGACTTTTATAAAAAAATTATAAACATTAAATAAACAAAAGAAAAATAACCAAAACCGGACAAAATGTCACTTAACTTGAACACATGTGTATGTATGTACCTAAGGCCCACCCATCAACATTAAAATAAATATTAAATCAATCATGTTATTTATATCTATAATACTTACTAACGTATAAAATATATAATTATATTTATGAAAGAAGATTTTGCCTAATGAATTTTGAGATAAAATTACACATATATGAGGCCAATAAGAGTCACAAATTAGGAAAATAAGAGCCTGAAAAGAGTCCGAATATGAGGGAAATAAGAGCCATATATGAATCATATTGATACAAAAAAGAAGGTAGTTTCATTTAATGACATTATTTGTTGTTGTCAACCATTTGACTTTTAATAAAATTATGACATTTCATCAAATTCATGCTACCTGATCACTAGAAGAAATATTTTTTTTTTTTTAGGCAGTAGATTTTATCAGTACATTCAAAGATGTGGAATATAATGAACTAGAAAATTATGCTACATGATTTCGAAAATGGGGTTGACGACTAGATTTCAGAAAGCATGAATGAAGTGTATACTTACATATCGTCGCTTAAAGTACAAAACCGCGTATCGTCGTTCTACAAAACCGCGTAACTGTCATTTTTTGCCAAAAATTAGATTTGCTTACACAAGCTCTTGGCTCAAGCCTTGTCCATTCGTCCTGAAATGTGATTTCTTTGTAAAAAAAGAGAACCATTTTGAAATAAGAGTGTTTTTACTCTCTACAAAATAATGTATGCCACCTCACATACGCAGTTGTGCATTTTGTTGATACACGGTTTTGTACTTTTAGCGACGATCTGTTAGTTTTTTATCGGAGGGCGGTCTGTTCAAGCCGATTTCAGGTGTTTTGCATAAATTAAAAATTTGTGAAATTTAGTGATGATGCGCTAATCACAAAGCTTAATTTTTTACAAAATCTTATGAGAAATTTAAAAGTAAATATGAACCGAAATATAAAAAGTTTACATTTGGGAAGAAAACTTTTTAGAATTCGATTTTTAAATCGCAAGATTGCATTCAAAATAAGAAAACAAAAAAATAACAGAATAATGCGCGCGTGGTTTTTATTACAAAATGAAAAGAACAATTACGATGAAGTCTCCTTTTACATTTTAAATATTTTTAATAAAAAAAGGTGCCAACCACATAAGTAAAAAAAGTGCCAAGCACTGATAATGGTTTTTGATTTGAAATGTTATTACATTGGTATAAATATGGGAAATAAAATACTCCGATTTATTGTTTTAATATTATCAGTGGCAAGGCCGTTGAGTATACTCACAATTTATGAAACTTCAAAAAATTTTATTATCCGTCAAAAGTTGTTTGTTGAAACTACCTTCTTTTTTGTATCATGATTGAGGCCCACTTGATGTATGAATTTAAGCTCATATAAGGCGACCTTCTTAGGAAAGGGAAACACCCTCATATCGGAGTCTTAAATGAGCTTATTATGAGCGTAATACTCATTTATGACTCCAAATGTTTGCTGGGGATGAGCCGTAACCGCTCATTTATGCACAACACGTACATATGAAGTGACTTATGCCACTTTCAAAACCTATATCGTCGTTTAAAGTAAAAACCGCGTATCAACAAAATGCAAAACCGCGTATGTGAGGTTGCATATATTATTTTCTAGAGAGTAAAAACTCATATTTCAAAATAGTTCTCTTTTTTATAAAGCAATCGCATTTCTGGCTAGTATATTTCAGGGATGACGATACGCGGTTTTGTACTTTAAACGACAATATGTATATATGCACAGCTGTTTATGAATTTATTCACATTATCAAATTCTTTTTTTACGTATTATAATTTAAGGGATGTCAGTTCAAAAGTATCTGAAATTATAAACCATCTGGGAGAACTTTCGGCCGTAGCACAGAAGCTGTCTAAACCCGTCACATCATCTCAGAAGTTACGCATGTCGGAAAGTCAAACAGTTTATCTTATTGCAGATATAGGTGGATATGATGGGTGAGTAAGAATTCGAACCCAAAAACTCATTAGTGTCATATGCATACATAGAATCTAGATTGGGCGGAAAAATGGTAAAATCCAAAAAAAAAATAGTAATGTTTTAAATCAAATGAAAACTTGTTCAAATATTAAATTCAAATACGCCCATAATAAAATGAAGCGCTCGGTTTGCACTTCAAGGATGCTTTTTCGTAATTAAGATAAACCAAAATAAAAACAAATAAAATATAAGTTCGGGTGGAACCGAACATTAGATACCCGGCGCAATTATTAAATATAGTTTTTTTCACCTTTCCAAAACTACCGCTACATGGTACGCCGGGGTGGTTTTACCCCTATTTTAAACGTTTTCGATAAACTTATATAGTTATAGTTCCAAAATTCTTTAACAATGTTATAGAAATAATGGTTTGCCTTTACGTGGCAAGCACAATAATCATACCGAGCTTGGTACAAATTGAACGAACGGTAGATTTTCTTATTTATCGAAGATTTCGTATTTCTATAAATAACCGTTACATAGGATGTGGGCGTGGTTTTTGTCCGATTTTAAAAATTGTAAGTTATTTGGTATGTGGTACCAAGGCCAACAATCGTGCCAAGTTTGGGAGAAATTGGTCGAGCGGTTACCGAGATATACACATGTAATCATAAAAGGGCGTGGCTACGCCCATTTTCCAAAAATTTATAATATTCCTATTTTAGTAGCGTACGCACTCTGCATTAACCATTTGTATTAATTGAGTTACATAGACTGAATTATTTCTACCAAACGTACTTATACTGAACTCACACTAACTAGCTCACAACGTGAACACCACTATCAGCTACGGCCTTGTTTTCACTATGTCAAATTCAATGACATATGTCGTCAAATAAATGAAAACACATTGTCAAATGCGATTAGAAAACGGTATATCGATTGAGTTAGATCAGGATAGGTCTTCAGTCGTATACATGCGCTGCTTACCTGCTGCTTTTGGCTCATAATATCATAAGCGAAGGTGCGAATGAAAGAGATAAACTTGTGTCAAAATATGTCGACAAATTTTGATGTCAAAATATTACTTAGTGAGAACCAGCCTTTACAATGTAGTTGGCGACGCGTACGCTACTAGCCCACTTGCACGATCGCCGGCTGTCAAAAATACATACATACACAGCTACATATCTTGTTGAAGGATTAGACCAAAAATTGTACTTTTAGAATTTGTATTTTTATATACCTTACGCATATTCGTGCGGCCCGGAAATTTGCAACTCGAAGTAAAATTCGTTATCGCGAATTGAATTAAAACCAAATTAATCTTTTTAACTGCAAGCAGTTCGGTGTTTTAATTTCATTAAACTAACCCCAACTTTAGGAAACTTGCGTTATGACGGTCGCGCAGTTTATAGTGCCATATTAGCGACTACGCGTTCCAGCCGCTGCCGTTTTGTGTGTCCCCGTGCTCCATCCACAGCGTTCTTAGTGTTAAAATGCAATGTAGTGCCGTAAAGCCGCCAAATACAAGCCGACGTCGTTCAGAAATCTCCAGATTGCCTTCCGTGCCGCCCAGCAAAACCAACCCACCGCTGACCACACATCCTAGCCAGCAAGCCCAGAGATTCGCCGCTCCGTCGCCCGCAACTAACGCAGCCCCCGCACCATGCGATTTAGTCCTTCGTAGCCACCAGAGAACCACACCAGTGGAGCAAAAAACCTTAAGTACCCAAAGCCCAAATAGAGCCGTAAGTAAGAAGCTAACTTCTTTTAACCCCACTTACGTCAAAAAAGGAAAAAAATACATATGTATATTACATATAAAAGACTAGCCGGCCTCGTATGCGCGAGGTGTGATTGACAACTATACAGGTTGCAACGCTACTTATTAAACAAAAATAATATATAATTGCGCATCTGCAGGCCAAGTCCTTTTATTTGATACCTCATTTCTTGTAATCTAACGAACAGCCCACATATTTTAATTTTTCGCACAGGCTGCAACCCGCTTCCAAAAATAAAACCTTACCGCAAATCTGAAGGCCAAGCCTTTTCATTTGACACCTCATTTTTTAAATTGAATGAACTGTGGAAATCTAAAGTTATTAACAAAAAAAGGGCTCGCGTTTTATACATACATAATTTTTAAATATGTAGGTGGCAACCCCACTTAAACAAAAAATAAAAACTTATTTCACATGCAGAGACCATATCCTTTTACTTGGTACCTCAGTTTTTAGTCCAACATACGGTGAACATCTTATAATTTTTAAAAAGTGGCAACCCCACTCAAAAAGTAATACATTATTGAACATCTAAACGTCGAGCCCTTTTATTTGACACCTCATTTCTTGTAATCCAACGAACAGTGCCGATCTTATATTTTAGACAGGTGGCAACCCTATAGGAATTTAAAGTACTAAATATAATATTCCTATCGATACAGATTATACTTAAAAAATCTCGTCTAAATCCCTGTAGTAGTTTTTGAGATTTGCGTGTTCAAAAAATCTCGAATTTCTTTTAAACTATGTATAGAAGATAGTAATTTTTAAATGGGTGGTAATCCTACTCAAAAAAATTTAAATTTTTGTACATGTGAAGACTATGCCCTTTCATTTGATATCCCATTTTGTAATCCAGCGAACGATGAAAATCTGTTTACTTTTTATTAGGTGGCAACCCTACTCAGAAAAATAATCCATTATTGCACATCTAGAAGCCAAGGCTACGTTTGACTGCGACGGTTGCAGAACTGATGCCTATGCTTATTATGATTGTATATAGTAATTTTATCAACAGGTGGCAACCCTATTCAAAAGAATAAAACATTTTTGCTTTTCTAGAGGCCCATCCCTTTCATTTGACACCTCAACTTTTGTAATCCAGCGAACGGTGCGGATCTTTTTTTTTTAGACAGGTGGCAACCCTATTAATTCTAATTGAAAAGATCACTGTCGTTGCAATATAAAGTATATTAGAGAAAATCTCGTCAAAATCCGTTCGGTAGTTTTCGAGATTACCGCGTACAAAGGATCTCGACTTTCCTTTATACTATGTATGTATTTATAGAAGAAGCAGTATTTGCGTAGATCTCCTAAGCGAAAATATATCTATACATAGTACATATATATAAATATTCATATATTCCCGCGCATGGGCGTAGCCAGAACGAAATTTAGGGGGGCCCTATACGATTTTTATTTTTTTTCAAAACCAATAATTATTACTAAAAAATTATTACCTATTATTACCTTAAAATTATTGTAACCAATAGTGGTATGTTGTACAAAAACACATAAATGAAGTTTTCAAAACCAATAATTATTACTAAAAAATTATTACCTATTATTACCTTAAAATTATTGTAACCAATAGTGGTATGTTGTACAAAAACACATAAATGAAGTTCGCAAAAGTTGATATAAAACTATTCGTCGGTTAAAATAATTAACTTTTTACTGCACATGTTTTTTTTTACGAGGAAGAAGCATCGAAAGCCTAACCTAGTCAGTATGAGACTTTAACCCAAACTAAACCTCCTACCGTCATATACCGTTCCCCTCCCGGTACCATCGTCAAGGATTTCGTCGGGATAATAAAAATGTGTGACTGCTAAAGTTATAGATCTAATGATGCACAAAAAATATACATACTGAGAATTTTGAATACCCCCTCACAATCTGTACCTAAGGTATAAAAACGCGTTATTCATAGTTTGAGCCTTATAATTGTTCTTAAATTAATTTCTGTTTATCCGATGAAAAATATATACCGTGCGTACACGGTAACCGCAACCCTCAACTTCAGAGCAATTTTACCTCAATACCCACAACTTTCTTTGTTAATGCATGCCACGCACACCAAATTTGAATTTTTTGCATTTCTTTGATTTACCAGTATTCTTTTTACTTACAGTATTCACTTCTTTACTATTACACTGTGGAACGAATTCAGGTTAGCAAAAGTTGGGTCGATTCTGAGAGTGAGGGATGAAAATAGAGGCTAAATTAGAAGACCCGTATCGCGGCGTTTGTTTATGTTAGTTCGAATTTTTTTTTAATCGACCTTCGAACTTTGCAGTCAACTGCGGATTTTCAGCATATTGTTTATATGGTTTTTTGGCTATAACTCGTCGACTAATTGATATTTTTTCAATTTGTTAAAGCCAAATTATTGCTAGAGACCTGTGCAACAATTAAAATTAAAAAAAAAAATTATTTAATTTAAATTAATTTTTTATTTAAACATTTGGTCCAACGTTTTTACCAACAATTCGTGTTCACGTTTGGTTTTGTGGTCGTCTGAAGGCATATCCTCCATTGCCATCTTAAATAACCTAACGAAAGCGTTATGCCCGTGAAGAAGTTCTTGTGGCAACAATTATCTGGTCCGATGGTGAATCATCCTTGAATCTGTATAGCACAGTTTGCGGCACTTAAAACATGTGGAGTATCATTAGTCCACAGATATCAATATACAAAGCCTTATTTCAGACAAAATACCGTAAGAAGTCTTACTATTGTATTTGTAGGCATATATCAAGAATTATCTTTATTCTGTTTAGTCGCCGTAAAACAAGGACCGCAATCGTTCTGGTGATTGATTTAACGGTGGTAATTTAACTTTGATCCTTGATGTCTCCGATTGACTTCACTTGACGATTTTTACCAATAATTCGACTCCAGCGCCACCTTGCAGCTCTTTTGGTCTAATAGTAGATATTGCCCCTACCATTACCAATATATATCTCGAATATGAGCCAAATCGGATAATAAATACGATTTTTAGTAATAACTCGACTCCAGCGCCACCTGGCGTTTCAAGTTGTGAGCCTATGAAGATGAGTTTTAAAATAGTGGCTCCAAAAATCCCTTCCTTGCTTGCCCTGGCATTGAAGTCGGCAAGCACGAGTTTTATATCGTGACGCGCTCGAAATTGTTCTCCAAGCGCTCATAAACGGATCCTTGGATGCCTGTTCCATCGGGGCATTGGCACATATGAGAGAGATGTT